GAGATTTATCTCCTGATTCTCCAGTGTTTTTCAGCGTCCTCCATGAGCCTGCGGTCACTTTATAATACACACAGACACACACAGTGTAATCGATTAGTTGTGAGGCTAGCCCACTGCTGGGCTAAACAGCAGCATCAGTCCTGTTGAAATGACAAATCAAATCACATCGCAAGACAGTGCAAGATCTCACACTGCATATGCCCAAGAAATAAGATAAAATGCCTTTTTTTTTTAAATAGGAAAAAAGTATTTTGAGAATTAAAAATGACATAAAATAGACATTTGAATATATAGTGACATCTTCCTCCAAACTTTGAATATATCTTATCATTTGCATGTGCGATTGTTGACTGACACAAAACATATAATTGCATATGCAGAACATGTTAACAAACCCTCGTAACACACTATATTAATACCTGATGATCCCACAGCAGGTTACGCCACCCTCGTCAAAGAAGGGGCTGCTGTTAAGACTACTGATATTAGCCAGGATCACGTGTGGAGGGTGTCATAGCACTTACAAAAGGGTTGATTATAATGTACATGAGTTTATATTAGTTGAATATGTCACTGTTAGCTGGAGGTGCCTACAGCACAGCCTGTGCTCTTTCTTTAGTCTTTTCTTCCTCTTGTCGCTTCATGGCTTGGATCACTGCAATCTCTTTGGCCTCTTTCTTCTGGTTCCTCGCCTCAAACAGCAACCTGAGTCAAGGGAAAGTGTAAGTAATATATAGTAAGCCTAGTTTCAAACAAATATACACTCATTGGCCACTTTATTAGGTATACCTGTTCGACTGCTCGTTAATGTAACTAATGTAACTGTAAATGTTAACTAACTCCAGGTTAAAAGATACCATGATTGCATCAAGATGTACGATAAATGTACTACATCTGATTGTTTTACCTGTTTTTGATTATCCTTTGCACGATGGCGTCCGTAGTGAGGCTGTTCCCACTGTCAACAGTGCGCAGGATTCCTTTTCTTCTGGGCTCCTGAGTATTAAGGAAAAACTGTAAGTAAACACTTATGTACGTGTTTTCATAAAAAAATCGCAGCATATTTGTGGGAGTCTTACAGCATAAGGGTCAGATCCATCTTTGTCGGGATATATTTCTGTCTTTCCGTGGCAAACGAGATCCACCTGTGGAAATTAAGTCACGTGTT